CCTATAGAAGAAATAACAAAGTCATCACAGAATCCTTGAGGATACTCTTAGATGGGTGAAAATTGTATATTGAGCTGAGATACTGACTAGTGACACTGATATCTGTGACAGTGACAGGACATACTGAGTCCTATTTGTAGTCACTATATCAGCCCACTAAATGGCCTTGCAGATCATGTAGCCCACCTAGATTACATGCTTGTATTTGGATTTTTCCTAATTTTTCTCACAGGATTCTGCAAACCAAAGCCACCAAGGTGGTTATATCAGTGGATTTAATTTTGTCATACAAAGTTCAAAATACCTTGATGGAAGCCTACATTTTTGTCATGTTTTTCCTATGTTCTTAAGGGTCTAGAGAAATCTCACAGCTATACTGTGTCATGAGACGCATAGTCATTCCATTAATAATAATTTTTTAAAAAGAGGCAGAGAAGCAAAGAGAATTTGGCACGTTGTAGATTATTGCTTACTTGAGATGAGCCTTATCTGGGGAGTGGTAAAGATTATAAAAGAGATAAAATTAATGATTTTCCTATAGTTGCAAATATGAGTAACTGATACAGATTTAAAACCAGGTATGTATGATTTCAAAGCCACAACTTTGACATGATGTGCTTTGTATGCGTGAATATTTATGCATTTTTAATAATAATAATTTTTAAAGCAGAGATTTTAGCTTTTAGTTTCTGGTTTGAAATAAATAATGATATATCCTTTCATGCCATACTCCTTCCCTTCCCCAATAAAACTACATTTTAATTGAACATTCAGTTTACTGTTCTCCATATTTTCTGAAGAGCTTTGAAGCAGATCATTTCTTTAGATACGGGCTCACTCAATCCCTTTCAGTTTAGGTCGTGATATGTTTGCTCAGAATCCCCATTACGACCTTCAAAATAGTGCCCTTTGCCAATACTGCATTTATTCCCAATCAGCTTCTGCTTGAGTTATTACTTTTACTTTCCAAACAAATCTCAACAGTTTTCACTTTGCTCCATACAAATCACACCACCTTGTTTCTTATCACATTAGAATCACTAACATTCTGTGATTATACTGTTTGTGGAACAAAAAGATCCTTTATACTTTGCCTGTCTGAAGAATGCCTTTTCATTTTTCAAGTGTCCTTTAAGGGCCAGTCTTCATAATACAATTTCTGGTTATACTTTCCAGGATGGATGTTTGATTTGATTCAATATATTAAATTTTTATGTGAATCAGGTATACATAGAAATTTTGGGAATGAATAAGAATAAAATATACATTTTTTCATGTCTATTCTTTAAAATACTATAGAGACTGAAGATAAGGTAGATATTTTTATGTACCAATGTAAAAAGCTGCATTATTGAGTAAAATAAACAAATTACAAAATTATAAGCATAAGTATATGTAAAGACTCTTATAAATCAAGAAGAAAAAATCAAGGGCTGACCAGTTAGCTCACTTGGTAGAGCATGGTGCCAATAATACCAAGGTCGAGGGTCTGGATCCCCTGACTGGCCAGCCACCAAAAGAAAAAAAAAAAAAGGCAGACTACCCAATAGAAAATTGGAGAAAATACTTGGTCAGAGCAAAAAAGAGGAATACAAATAAACAAACTAACACAAGAAAAGCTCCTCCATTATATTAATCATCAGAGAAATACAAGTTAATAGGCAAGGATGTGGAGGAACTAGAATTTCACATACACTGCTGGTAAGAGGGGTAATAAACACTTTAAAAAGCTGTAAAAATAGCCACTAAAACCAAATATATACAAACCTATGACTTCTAGATATATACCCACAAAAATGAGTACATATGATCTCCAAAAGATATGCACAAAAAAATTCATAGATGCGCAACTTCTAATAGACAAAAACTGGAGACAACCTAAATATCTATCAAGAGGAGAATGAATAAACTTTGGTGTATTTGTACAAGTGATCAGTCTACAGCACTGAAAATGAATGGACTATTGCTACATGGAGGGATATGGTCCAGTGGTGTGCTGGATCCTGCACCTACCAGCTTACAAGAGGCAACTATGGGCATCTCTTCCCAAGTGCATATTCAGTGATGTTATTTTGTTAGCCTGAATCTGCCATGGGGGGAGAATTTGTGTCATGGAGTCAGTAAATGCTGCAGATCAATGCTTTTACAATTCTTCGTAGAGCTGAATTACTAGCACACTATTTATGTATCTCAGAAACATAATTCTGAGGAAAAGAAGCCAAACGCAGAAGTATACATGCTGTATTATTCCAATTATAGAAATTTCAAAAAGAGGCAAAACTAAGCATTGGTGTTAGAATTCAGAAGAGGACAATAGTGGATATTGTTCATCATGAAGGGTAGTGATGTAAAAAGAATAGGAGGAGGGCTTCTGGAGTTCTGGTGATCTGGTTTCCTGACCTTGATGCTAAATGACAAGACGTGTTCATTTTGTAAAAATGAATTATGACTTGTGTACTGTATGTGTGTGTGTATATATATGTTAATTAAAAGCTTTTTTGAAACTAATGAGTAAATAAAGGCATAGCATAATCTTATTTTGTATTTTATTTCTTACAGTTTGGGATGCTGAGATGTCCAAAGTGTAGAAGGCCCAGCTGATGAGGGCTCTCTTTTGGTGGAAACTCTCTACAGAGTCCCTTGGTGACACAGGCAATCACACAGCAAGGCCTTGCAAGAGCCCTTGTTAATGTGCTCACTAGCTCTCCTTATAAAGCCACCAGTTCACACTGGCGATAACCCATTAAAACCATTAATCTGTTACTCCATGGATGAATTAATCCATTCATGACACCATAATCTTCACGATCCAATCACCTTTTAAAGGCCCTACCTTTCAGTACTGCCACACTGGGAATCAAGCTCCTACACGAGCCTTCTAGGGGACAAACATTCAGACCATAGCAGGGTATAAAATGATACTTGAGCTTCTTACTTCCTAAACTTCTATATACATTTTAAAAAATAATAAGCTAGTTTTATCTTACTAATAAAAATTAACAGAGAAAAAAATCTACATTTGATTTAAATGTTAAAAACATTTTTCCTTAAAATATCTTCTTTTACTATCCCATTCCATCATTAAATTGGGAAGAGTATTGCTAAATTTTCTATTTCTCAGAATTCCAAAGCAAAGATTCTCTCCACAAAGAGTGAGATTGAGAATTATTTACTTTGAAAGAGTGGACAAACCATTAAGGAACATTCTCATTTATCTATGCCCTATCTTTTTTGCTTAAGTCATGGAATGAGTGAACATCTGTCACATAGCAAATGTCAATTAAAAATATCTGGAGGGATTAGTACCAAAATGTTTACAGTATTTACATCTGGAGGGTGATATGGTATGAGGAAGGACAAAATGCTTGGCAAGCAAGGGTAGGCAGCTCAGACAGGACTACATCCAAACTTTAAGTTAATCATCTGACTCCTAGACCTAGGCTTCTTCTGATACTACAGGCAAATTCAGTAAATGTACACTAGATCAATGGAAGCTGTGTAGTGTATGGAGTAAGACAGATACCGTATTAAATCTTAGTTTGATGACTTTGGATGATTCACTTAATCTCACTAAATTTCATTTTTTCTGTGTGTCAAATGGAAAGATAGGACAAACCTTGAAGTGTTCCCATGATGATTAAATGAGAAAATGTATATAAAGTGCACCACTAATAATAAATGCTCAATAAATATTAGCTAGTACTATTCTGCCATTTCTGGTTAGATTTGACAATGGGAACATTAGGAAAGATATAATAAATATAGGGTTTTGTTAGAAAAGGACTAAGAAACTCCCTTTTCCCCTGTTCTATGTTATGTAAGAGTTGTCTTGCTCAAGTAAACTGTTCACAGATTAATTTTCCCACATTTCTACATTTCTTTACTCAGGAATTCTTTGTCAAAGTACCCAAGACTCTACAATGCAGCCCATCTTTCCCCACTCTCATCCTGCTCTCTCCCTTTTCTAAAGCAAGCTATTAGCTATTCTTTGAATATACTCTGAGTTTCTGGCCTTTGTCTACCCTGCTGGCCCACAGCCCCTAATGTTTCTTCTCATCTTCTACCTGCACCTCACTGTCTTGTTCAAATCCTACCAGCACTTCACTGTCTTGATAAAATCAATGCTTCCATAAAAGCATGCCTAGTCAATGCATGGTCTCCCTCATGGATTATGAGAACACACTTGATTTTATAAAGCATGCGATTATTCTCTCTCTTTAGATATTATTATTATTATTATTAATTTATAATGGGGATAAAATTATGTGTGATTGATTCTTCTGGTTAATTCAATAGAGATTGATTTCCTATCTGTAGAATGAAAGAGACCAAACACTGCTGGGATATGAAAATGAACTCTTTGACTTAGACAAATCACAATGTTATTTCTTTAAAAGTGGTTTTGCTATGTAAATAGAGGATAATCCCCTACTTTTTTTTTTTTTAAATAACAATGATATTTATCAGGAGAAAGAGCAAGGTGGTAATACACATTGATGCCAAACCTCCCTGACTTTCCAAAACAGTGCAAGGACTTTCTGCTTGACTTTACTCGGTATAGTACTATGAAGGATTTTACAGGATTTCAGAGCTGAGAAAAAGTAAGGAGATGATCTAGTCTTTTTTAACAACTAGCCTTGGGCCAGGTCCTTATGTGTTTTCCCAGGAAGACAGAGGAGGAGCGTCCTACTGAATCACAGGAGTGGAGAGATGAGAGTAGCGCGCTCTCTCCCCCTCTCTGTCCCTCTCTGTCCCTCTCTCCGTCCCTTTCTGTCTCTCTCGTTTTTAAGTAAGCAAGAGCTAGACGTTTTCAAGAATAACTTCTTTTGGAAGCGCCTCTCGAAATGGGCCGGGTTCTTTTCTCCTGGAGGCGGACGTTGCCTCCCTCTCTCTCGGATTGGTTCAGAGTCCGCTATAAAGACTCTCAGGGCGGAGGAACCAGAGCCCAGGGCAGGAGCTAACGTTGCGGCGGGTTCAGGGAGCGCCGTGGGGCCGCAAGGAGGCGCGGGTCGCGGGAGCCTCGGTTGGCGCCGGGATGTGGAACCTGCTGCCCGAGACCGACTCGGCCGCGGTCACCGGGCGCCGCCCGCGCCTGCTCTGCGCTGGGGCCCTGGTGCTGGCCGGCGGCCTCTTCAGCCTCGGCTTCCTCTGCGGTAGGGGCGCGCTCCCCGCGGTCCTCGGCGCCTCCCCAGCAGCTCCGCGGCCCTGGGACCCGCGGGCCGGCTGCCTGTGGGGTCCTGCTGCTGATGTCCCCGAGGGGCGGCGCTTTGGGCGCGGGCCACGTGGGGAGGGGCCCCCGCAGTTAAGTGGTGCCAGCGTTGCCTGGGGGGCGGTGCAGGGTTGAGCTCTACACGGGCTGCTTGTAGGACGGAATCACCCAGGTCAAGGCGTAGAATGGAGAGAACCTGAAACTGGACTTAGAAAGGTTTCGCCGCCTCGAACCCTGCCAAACACTGCACTTTCGGTACAAGCGGCAGATCTCTGCGGGCTGTTAAACCAGGTCGCCCAGGGAGCTTTGCACAAAGCGGCTCTTAAAGTGTTCTTGGTTTTTATCTAGTCCTGTAGCACGTGGGGCTGCTTCAGGCGTATGGTAGAATTCAGGGCGTTGCTGAAAGGGAGTCTTTTTCCCTTCCCGTTCCCTCCTTGAGAATAACAGGCACATTTGCGAACTGGGTGAATTATTGTCGGTCTCTAACCAGATTTTTATCAGCAGGCCTTTCGGTACAAGCGGCAGATCTCTGCGGGCTGTTAAACCAGGTCGCCCAGGGAGCTTTGCAAAAAGCATCTCTTACCTGCCTGGGGTTTTTATATAGTCGTTGACAGTACCTGGGGCTGCTTCGGGTGTATGGTAGAATGCAAGGCATTGCTGCAAAGGAAATCTTTTTTCTCTTCGCGTTCTTTAGTCCTTGGTAGTAACAGAGGCACATTTGGGAACGGGGTGAATTATTGTCAGCGCTCTGACCAGATCTTTACCGACAGGTTTTGTGTTGTTCCCAGTGTACTGATTTACAGACTTAACCCAACTCTCCAAGAAAATCAGCAAGATTTTCACCAAGTTTGCACAGGCAAACTCGGGCCCTTAAATTCTAATTTCGAGTCTGCCACTTCTTAATGGCCTTGAACAAATTGCTGAGTCTCTCAGCTTCAGTTTCCCTATCTTCATGACAAGGATAATGCTGTCTACAGCTTATAACTAATAGCAAATGAAATAGCACAGCACTGGGGCTTTGGGCGCTTTATTTCTTCTTGGAAAGGAGATGAGCCTGATCGGACTTTAATGCACAGGATTAGCCTAAGAAAGGTACTGCCAGGTAGTTCACTCCTGCTCTGAATTTGTATCCCCTTTCTGGAGTTTAAAAGACCAGGGCTGGCCCAGCTGGGTTCACTCAAATTTAGCCTCTTCTAATTTGCTGTATGACCTTGGCATCATTAAGAGACATTTGAGCCACACAGTTCGTACCTAACATGTGGTTATTAGTAACCACCTGGGGTTGTTTTGGGACTTTAAAAAGTGCCCAATAAGGATACATTTTAAATTGTTTCCATTTCTTCCACTTCAAAAACGGGAAGTAGACTTGGCAAGGTTGGCTTGGGGATTACAATCTTCTGGGTCTCTTAAAGACATTTTATTCTTCTTGATATTGCCCTCACCCCCAACCTTGTATTCACTACTCAGTGGCTGACATAGACTAGGTTCTTATTGTTTCTTTTTTCTTAGGATTCTCTGCTCTCCTCTCCTCCACAGGCTTCCATCCTTTTCATCCTGTCCACCTTTCAAGCATCTCATCCTCAGTGTGTTCTTCCCTGATCCACAGTGTAATGCAAGTCTTTTTGTTTATGCACAGGTGGAATCATATATCCCTTTGGGTAGAGTCCTGGATTTTAATATGCACGCATATGTGTGTGTGTGTCTGTATGTATGTGATTAATAATTGGAAAGCTCCATGAAAGTTGGCTGAGCCTTGACTTTGCAACAATCTTATTTCCAGATCATATAATTTATTTAAAAATATCCCGTAATGATGCTGTATCTCTGTGTGATTAAACACCAACTGCAGGAGCTAATGCCTCTACGTGACCTGGCTATCCATTGCCTCTGGCTTCCTGTGTGCACTGGATGTCTCACGGAGATGTTGGGCAAATTGTAGCTTTACTGTAGCTTTCTGAACTTGGATTTCTGATGCCTATTCAACTGGAAACGCAAAAATCTCAACACATTTTGTTTTAGTTTGAGAACCAGAGCAAATTAGATGTCTGAGTTGCCTTCAACACTTTGAAATAATTCAAGTACTTGAAATATATTCACAATGATTTCATTGTAGATATTTATTAAAAGCTTATTGTGGGTCAACAGAGGAGCAGCCACTGAAGACAGAAGCTTTATAGAGAAAGGTGGATCTACTTTTCACTTTCATTTTCAAAAAATCTTATTATCCCCATTAGTTGAAACATTAATACAATATTTAATTTTAGTGCTGGTTTCCTCATTCAACATTTCTTAGAATAATAAAAACACCTGTCTTGAAATTGGATAACGAATATGTTGCAATTGGTTTGTATTTTAAAAATGTGTTTGCATGATATTTTTTCATTGGAAGTAGGCAAGAGAAGTTAAACTTAAGAAAATCTCAGCTAACACCAGAGGTAATTAATAACCTGTGTTTTGCATATGAAAGAAACAACAATAAAAAATAAGACTCGTCTATAAACTCATATCTCACTCCTACATTTGTATGTATTTTACAGGGTGGTTTATAAAATACTCCAGTGAAGCTGCTTACATTGTTCCACAGCACAGCATAAAGAAGGCGTTCTTGGATGAATTGAAAGCTGAGAACATGAAGAAGTTCTTATAGTAAGCAGATACTTGAAAGTCTACATGGACAGTTCGTTGAAAGAATTTATCATTCTGTTTAAAGTTTTAATCCAATACGTTATGTACAGAAACTGGCTATTTATTAAGTTTTGTCTGTTGAGGATCTTGTGTCACATTATTTCTGGACAAGATTATACTTTTCAGGTAAACTTTATCATTGCAGAAGTTTTAGAGCAGGAGTCAGCAAAACATTTTCTGTAAAAGAGCCAGCCTTGGGGCCCGCCCGGTGGCGCACTGCGCTAGTGCGCCGCTTGGGAAGCGTGGTTGCGCTCCCACCAAGGGTTCAGATCCCACATGGACCAGTTCCTGCTCACTGGCTGAGCAAGGCGCGGGGGCAACACCGAGGGTTGCGATCCGTTGCCGGACACAGAAAAAGATAACAACAACAACAAAAAAAAAGAGCCAGCCTTTGTAGGACAGTTGATGTCTGTCACAACTGCTCAGCTCTGCCATTGTAGCACAAAAGAGGCCAAAGAAAATACGTAAACAAGTAAGTGAGTCAGTTCTCCTAAAGCTTTGTTTTGGGTAGTGAAGTTTGAATTTTATATAATTGATGTATTACAAACTATCGTTCTTTTGTTTATTTTACCTATTTAAAATGTAAAATAAAAAAAAGAAAAACTACAAAACTTCTTAGCTTGTGAATAGTACAAAAATAGCCAGGGGGCCAGATTTGGTCAGTGGAACTTAAATTGCTGACTTATTAGTGAAAAAAATAAGTTTAGACTTTGGAGTCAGACAAACTTGAGTCTAAATTCCATTTTTGCCCATTGACAAAGTAACTTGGGGTGAATATTTAACATTCTTAAACCCTCAGTTCCACATCTGTAAAATGGAGATAATGATATTATTGTGATGAGGATAAAATTGGAGAACATATGTTTAACATATTTAAAAAAAAAAAAAACTAGCTCCCTGCCTCCTGAAATAGCTATTTCCAGTGTAGAACAAAAGAAATAACTGAGTAAATTTAAAAATAATTTACAACTAAAAACACTTCTATAAAATTATTATATATAACTGATTAGAATGCTTAGTTTTTTCAAAACATTAAGTCCTTTTCTTTGTTTCTTTTTTACAAATTGGCTTAGTACATGTGTTCAAAGTACTTGAAGTTCTTCTAGTGACTGAAGGATTCCGTAGTAAATGCAAGTTGTAATTTTGTGTGAAAAGATCATTATATGTACATAGATATGTATAGACTTGCATACACATAATCATACAAACACCTGTATATTAATTACAATAGAATTAAAACTATGAATAAAAATTTGCTAGGGCACTTCCCAGGTCTTTGGAAGGGCACTTTCAAGTGAGAGATCCTGAAGCTTAAACATTTTTATCTTTGTGGAAACCCCTCTTGCATCTATTCCACCATAATCATGTAGAATAGGTAAAATAAAAGTGGAGGTCTGGCAAGATATGGTCTTCACTCCTTGACAGCTACTGCCCCTGCTATGGGCTTCCTTTCCTAATTTGTTATGTGGATTGACCAACAAAGAAAAAAATGACAGCCTTCCTTTGTTTCTTTTTCTGAACCCTCAAGCAAGATCTAAGCAATCAGCTTCTTGTTTATTCCCCTTTACTATAACCAAGCTCATCAAGCTGTTCAGAACTCTAGGATGTTATCATTAACACACAAAAGAAAGAGATTAAGAGAGCTCTCACTCACCTCTCCAAGGATGCAAGAATTTCCAGAGGACTCCAGGGCTCTTCAGACTTCCAATTTTCCATTTGTCCATCAGAGAGATTCCGATCAAAATAAACCCAAGGATCAAAGGCCATTAAAGCCTGGGACCTTCTATCTTGTTCCCTGTTATAATCTTTTGTTGTTCTTTTAAAGATACCCACTGTCTCTGAGTTAAGTAATTCTCCTATCCTCCGAATAGTGGATAGCAGGATTAATTAGGAGGAGCATTTTCAATCTGTCTGTAGTGCCCCGTTGTCCTGGGTTTTCTCTTCTGTATTGTAAGCAACCGGTTGAATGGTTGAATTGACAGGTCTGTTCATTATTTTGCATCTCTCCAGAGAGACTTTCCTTCTCTGCCTTATTTTGAAGACAAGGTTGTTTTAAAAGAGCATTTTAGATTTCTGGTCTCAGAATTTCACTGGTGTGTTTTTGAATTCTAGTTCCACCTTTTACTAGCTGCCCTTAAATCATGTAACTCCTCCAAACACTGCTCCATCATTTGTAAATCAGATACAATGTATTAAAACAGGAATACCAATAGCTCCCTTTATGAATTTAGATAATGTGACCATACTTTGGACTTATTTAAATCAGCCAGACAGGGATATATATATGAACAAATTTTTGCTATTTTGACAAATTTGTACATTATTATTCTCACTCTTTTTAACTTTAAAAACTTGATATTCTAATAGGATTAACAAGTTACTTGTGAAACACATCTCAAGTGATTTTAAAAAGTTAAGAACTGCTGTTTATTATCAGTTATCTTACTGAGTTTCAAAGCTTTGTGAAGTAGTGAGATAGTGATATTTTCTCCATGTACAGATGAAAAGTTTAAGACATAGCTAGGGTTCCACACCAAGTTAGTGACATATCTGTAATACATCACTTTTATAATATATGATGATTAATTTATTTATCGTTTGAAACACCGTTTTTCTACTCATCTTTTCCAGGATCTGTTTTGCTTCAAATTAGTGGGTCACAACCCTGATGATAATACAATGTTGTGTTCTAGTTGTTAGTGACAAAACTGTTACAAGATATTTCACTTATAATAAATTCTGAAAAGGATCGCCTCCTCCTTTGTTGTGAGTAGGTTCAAGATCCCCCATGCAACTCTTCTTGCACGTAGGAACAGAGCTATAGTTGTTAATTTGGGAATTATGCATAGTATGGGTCCTAGTTATGTTGCAGTTTGTGATTTGTGTAATGTAGAAGAAAACAGCAGCATGTTGGCTTTTTTCTGTTTTCTCTGCAAGTATACATGGATGAAGGGATGTATAGAGACTCCTTAACTGCCTCATGTTTGTGCCCATTTTGTTACCAAATTTTACAAATAAACATTAGAAATTCCATGTTAGGTATTACACCCCTAAAAATGTACCAAATGAGGATTTGAATTCTATTTTTATAAATAAAATTTAAATAATTTAAATATAATTATTAAAAGTAAACTAATCAGAAATCCATTTCTCTTTTTAATATTGAGAGTTATTTCCCTTCATAGTTGATTTTCCAAACTAAAAAATTAAGATACACAGTAGAATGAAACATTTGAAATTAAAAACACCAGGGTCTAGACGTGTTAAATGAGATATTATTCTACTCATGAAAATATTTCCAGTAGCCAAATTTTGGCCACACGGTTTCTTTGTTAAAGATATTCCTCTTCAGATAATTTCTTGTCTTTGATTTTAAGTATATTACTCTGCATAATGGATGGACTGCAAGAGATTCAGTCTGAGCTTGTATCAATATATTCAGATTATTTAATGAAGATACTTTATAAATGGCTCCTAATCAAAAAATTCCTCGCTTGCCTGTAATTTAAAGTATTTAAATATATTTAATTATTAGTTATTCCTGCCATGTCACAGCTTGGTCTTAGGATAAAATATTTTTTCATCTATCACATATATTTCATACAGTGAAATAAACATATCATTCCATAAAAGTTCTATGAGGCATGGGTCTTCAGGAAAGAATATGACACTTTACTCATGTACCCTATGGGATATACCTGTAGGATTGCATATGGCGATACTGTGCAAAGATCAGTTTCTCCAATTTTTCTCTTGAATTAGTACAAATTATGGTATAAACTTTAAAGCAGACTTTGAAAATCTGTTTGCTGCAAGAATGCCTGTAGTACCGCATTGCTTTTTGAACATATCACACTTCAAAGTATTTTCGTATAAATCTGCCTTGTTTTGTTGTTGATTTGGGATAAAGGCTGACTAAAAATTAATTTCTAACCACTTTCAATTTTTGTTCACCAGTAATTTTACACGGATACCACATTTAGCAGGAACAGAACAAAACTTTCAGCTTGCAAAGCAAATTCAATCCCAGTGGAAAGAATTTGGCCTGGATTCTGTTGAGTTAGCCCATTATGATGTCCTGTTGTCCTACCCAAATAAGACTCATCCTAACTACATCTCAATAATTGATGAAGATGGAAATGAGGTAAAAAAAACAAAAGAATAAAGAAAACTTTTTCCCCTCCCAGTCTTTGCACTTTTCAAATACCTTCTATGAAAAAAATGCCCTATCCCATTTCCAAATATCGATAGAAATCAATATTATTTAAAACTTTTGGATAATATCTTTAATATCTCATTATCAGTGTCAACTACTTTCTTATGGTGTTTCAATTTAATGTGATATTGGAAAGATTCTGAAACAATAATGCTTGATGACAGTTATTTTTTATGTTTTAGTATTGCACACCAATATCAAATATTATATACTAGTAAACTTCCAAGCAACCAAAATAGATACATTTTTAACAGGTTTAGACTGAAAAGACACTGCCCAGGTTTGGGGTTGCTAGGAAATTCACAGACACAGTGTGCAGTCTGAGCCAGCAGGTTTTCTTTTCTTTTTTTTGGGGGGGGGGTGGGGGTGGAAATGGCCAGTTCTGAGCTGACAGGTTTTTATTGGTACATAATGATTAAGGCCAGGAGAGAGATCTAATGTCCTCATCACAAAGAAATGATTTTCTTTTGTAATAGTGAATATGCTAATTACCCTGATTTGATCATCACACATTGTATACATGTATTGAAATATAACTCTGTACCCCACAAATACATATAATCAATATATTTCATTTTTTAAAAAAAAAGCATGAAAATGATTGTCTCAAATGACCATGTCTACAGCTGTGTGCCAAGAAATTATGTGTGGGCATTTGGAAGGGAAGAGTGTTCGGAGACAAGGTGTATAGAGTATCTACTCTAAAGAATTTACAATCTTGTTTTCAAGTTGGAGCACATACTTGAAAAAGAGAAGATAATGCAGATAATTGAGATACTTCTTATCCTGATTTATACAATATGAAAACTCATAAAATACAACTCATGTATTTTTAGATATATAGCATACATTAGTTTTAGAGCTACCATATCTAGAATAGTCCTTTTCAATTTAGATAGCTTCCTTCAGTCCTTTTATTCCTGAGCCTTACAAATTATATATAGCTTCAAATATGTTCAGCTTAATCAGTGAACTAAAATTGTCATGTGTTTTAAATATATATTTAAATTTTTAAAAAAGTCGACCTCCCTTTATTGGCTAATGAATGACTAATGAATCATTCTCTCATTTTTTTAAATTTATTGAAATATAATTGATTATACATATTTGTGCAGTTCAGAGTTGACTATCGATACTTGTTTTCAGTATGTGATGATCAACAGGTTAATTAGCCTATTGGTCATAGCAAAATGTAATCATTCTTTGTGTTCATTAGCTGATTTCTCCCTAACCCCCTCCCCCTTTCCTTCCTGTAGTAGCACAGTCTGTTCTCTCTTCTGAAAGTTCAACGTATAATTGTGATTGTTGTTTTTGTTTGTTTGTTTGTTTCTTTCTTTTTCTTTCTTTGTTTACTTATTTCTTAGCTCTCACTAGTGAGTGAGAACATGTGATATTTTTCTTTCTGTTGGCCATTTGTATGTCTTCCATTGAGAAATACCAGCTCAGCTCCTTTGCCCATTTTTCAATTGGATTATTTTTTTTAATGTTGTTTGAGTTCCTTGTATATTCTGGATATTAATTCCTTGTGAGATATGTAGTTTGCAAATATTTTCTCCCATTCTGTAGGTTGTCTTTTCATTCTGTAGATCATTTCTTTTGCTTGCAGAAGCTTTTCAGTTTGATATAACCCCATTTGTTTATTTTATGTTTTGTTGCCTGTGCTTTTGGAGTCTTATTCACAAAGCCCGTGACCAGTCCTACCTTCCTAGGTATTCTTCTAGGAATTTTATAGTTTCAGGTCTCATATTTAAGTCTTTAATCTGTTTTAAGTTAATTTTGGTATAGGGCAAGAGGTACGGGCTAGATATCCATATGAAGATGAATTAATATGCTGTTATGTTTTGCAGTCAGTGAATATAATAGCATGCCAAAATTTTAAAAATGATTTGGAGCTTTCTATACAATAACTGCTATTTTAAATCATAGTAGTTAACAGTTTAACTTTAAAAATATTATTAAACTATTTCAAAATGTAAAAGTATTTTTAAAAAGGTATGGGGAATACCAGTACATATCACATAGGTTCATAACATTTATAAAATAAGTGGTGGCATATTTATCCAACTAAGTTAAGTACTAAGGGGTCTTTAAAAGTATGACATAATAAAATATTGACAGTGTTAAAAATGTACAAGTACTCAAACTTCTGTTTTGATCTATCAGATTTGAGGATTGTCTATTTACAATGAGAAAAATAGAAGACTTGTTTTTCTTTTATTTTTTTCTTCCTCACCTCTCAATTTTGACTGTACTATTGCTTTTATTATTTTATTTCATTATTTATTTTTGCTGTTACAAGTGTTTTTAAACTTGTGAAAAAGCCTGTCACATAGTACAAAATGAATCATGTAGAAGCTTCATGTTGGATATTTTCCTGAATTAAGATTCTTAATTTTTTAAGTTATATTATTTCATTTTTATTTATATCCTAGTTATACATACACATAATCCCATAGATCTTTAGAGTGCCTTGCTTTCTCTCTATTTTCTCCTTTCCAGAGGCAATCACTATTGAACTATCAGTTGATTCTTTTGGTATTTACCTATATTTCTATAAGTAACAAGCCTATGTTGCTTTTTTTTCTGATTCGGGCGTTATCTATTGGCATTATGACAATTCAGCTCTCTCTATACCCATCCCTCTGTCCAACCACCAGTGCTCTCTTGCTATCTCCCATCTCCCAGTGTGGTTTAAATGTTATGACTGACTATTCACAGCTGAGCTTTGTGGTAAACTATGATTCTTTTTACCATCCTGCATGATACAGAAAAGTTCCCCTCCCCACAGGCAACAAATGTTATTAGTATTTTGTGGATCCTATCAGAGATATTTTTAATGTATATACATACATTGTTTCACCTTTGTTCATGCAGAGATAATATACCACATACATTGAACTGTATATTGCTTTTTTTATGTCAAAATAAGTAAATTGAAATTTGTAAACCACAGTTGCTTTGGATATACTCAGGATACATAATTTGAGGCTACTAGTGAATTTTGGAAAGTGAACAATGCTCTAAGACTGCTATATATTCTACCTTTGATAAAGTCAATGAAAAAAGTTATTTCGTTGACCTTAAAAAAACTTTTCCTGGTTATTAGAATAACTCATAAACTTGCTGTAAAATTTGCTGTTGCACAGCGGTGCTGAAAAATTGAAGATTACTATAAAGGCAAATCAAGAGAGACAAGCTTGAATACTCCCTTGCTTGAAAGACTTGCTGATATAATGACTTTGTTTCTAGATAGATTTTTACTACACCTTAGCATGGTTTCTCAGTTCCTCTTAACATTATTCCCAGTGATTCAGATGAGTTTGTCCCCTATGTGGATCACAGAATAAGTACAGGAAATTTGGAAGATGTGAGGGTTTTTGGGAGTAGTACTTGATTTGGTTTTATTTTAGGTTCTATCAGCCACAGGAAAGGGAGATAACTGGTGCTGTAATTAAGGTCAGCCCAGATTCACTCCCCGTTCCCATCATCTTTGTATCATTGCACTGGCCAGGACCTATAGTATAATGTCAAAAGAAGTAGTGATAGCGAGTAGGCTGGACCTTCTGGTCTTGAAGGGAATGCCTTTACTGTTTCACCATTAATTTTAACATTTTCTGTAATCTTTATCAGGTTAACTTAATTCACTTCCTTTCCAAGTTTACTACTACCTTTTTCTATGGATTTATGTTGGATTAACAACACATTTTCTTCTGAGATGAGCATGTAATTTTTCTTTCTTAATCTGATGATGACATTAAGTGATATTCTAATGTTAAACTAGCCTTACATTTTTGGAACTTGTAATATTAGTCAGTAATAGGGTTTTAAATTTACATATCCATATATATTCAATTGATATTCATCACATGATTAGTCTGTATTTTTATAATTTACTTGTTGGGTCATAGTTTCTGGAGTATATTTTTTATAAAATAAGTTGAGTTTTTAATATTCTCTGATAGGTTGTATATTCTTGTGTTAGTTTTTACAAGTTTTTTAACGTGCCTTTTTCCATTTTATTTAAATTTTCAAATTTATGGTCTTAGTTATTCTTAGTATTTTCTTATCTTTTTTAGTCTGTGCATATCTGTAGATCTGCTTTTTTATAACTAATATTATTTATTTGTGCTTTTACCATATTTTTTATTGATCTCAAAAAAGATATGCCAATTTTACTAGTGTATTTAAAGAATAAACTTCTGTTTGACAATTTTTTCTTATATATCTGTGATTTATGTTTTATTATCAGCACCGCACTCTCCCGAGTGAGCCACGGGCCAGCCCGATTTATGTTTTATTAATTCTGTTCTTAATTTAGAATTTCCTCTTTTACTTTTTTTTGTGTTTACTCTGCTGTTGTTTATAACATCCTCAATTGAATGCTTAGTTTATTGATGTTCAACTTTTTCTAATATAAATATTTACAGCCCTAAGTTTTTCTCTAAGAACCACTTCAGCTAGATCTCACAAGTTTGGGCGAGAAGTATTTTAGTTATCATTAATATCTAAATATTTTCTAATTCACATATTTAATTCTTTGATCCTGAACTATTTAGTAGTATTTTAAAATTCTGAATTTAAATATTGTTTTCCTTATCTGATCTGATTTCTAAATTAAATGTATTGTGATCAGATAATGTGGTTTGCAGACACTAATTCTTTGACAGTTGTTGAGGCTTTCTTAAGGGCCTAATATGTGGTCAATTTTTATAAATGTTCTGTAATTCATTGGAAAAATATATATTTGTCAGTTGTTTGGTTTAATGTTTTATTTTCATTCGTTTGAGTTTATTATTTGGCTGAAATCTCCTTTATCCTTCATGTGCTCTCATTTTGACTGCTTTCTTTATTAATTACAGAAAAAGAAATGTTAAATTATCTCATTATAATGGTGTACTTTTAAAATTTTTTCTTTGTAATTCTGTCAGTTACTGCTTTCTATAGTTTGAGTCTCTATTATCTGATGTAAACAAATTTAGAATTCTTGACCTTCTCTATCTCTTAATAAGATTCTTTGAGTTTGTGCTAAAATTCATGTTATAAAATAATTTCTTTTTTAAGTTAGCATTTGCTTGGTATTTCTTTTTCAGTTTTGTTAGTTTCAAACTTGCCCATGTTTAAATCACTCCTTGTAAAATGGTACATGCTGATTTTATTTAGTCAAACATACTGTTTTTTAATCTTTTTTTTTTTCCATTTGCATTATTTGAAATTCCCTGTGTGCGGTATTTAGGTTCCTTCTGCATTCTTATTGTATATGTTTTGTTTTGATTTTAGCTTTGTCTCCCTAAGTAGATTTACCATTTTGAAGGGTCTGTAATTTATTCATCTCATGAATTCCTCACAGCTTCTAGCACAGTGCTGGATATCTGATATGTATTATCAAAATACCAAAGGATTGATTGACCCTCTACTGACCGAAGAGATAATGCACATTTTTTTCTTGTTTGATTGTAGTAATCAAACATTAACTGATTTACTTTTGATTATTGTATTTTCTTTATCTAGATTTTCAACACATCATTATTTGAACCACCTTCTCCAGGATATGAAAATGTCTCAGATGTTGTGCCACCTTTCAATGCTTTCTCTCCACAAGGATTGCCAGAGGTAAAAATGCAACACAATAAAATAAAAATGACAAACAAAAGCCCTCATTCCCCTTATACATGCAGGCAATAATTAAAGAGTAATAAGGGGATTTTTGATGTAATCTAAATTCATTCTCTTGTTGCATTTAAGAAACTAGAATTTCTTAGTAAGAAAAAGGAATATTGACTTTTTTTTGGTTTGTGGTTTCTTCAAGATAAAATTTACTACAATGAGAAACACAAATCTCAAATGTACATTTATTGACTTTTGACATATGCGTACTATTGTGTAATCCAAACCCCATCAATGTATAGAATATTACCATCACCTCAGAAAGTTTACTTATGCCTCTTTTTAATCAAGTCCCTAGAGGCAGTCATTCTTCAGCTTTTTTTTTTTTTTTTTTTTTCCACCACAGATTAATTTTGCCATTCTAAAAGTTCATAAAATCATGCATTGCTTAACAACAGAGATATGTTCTGTACATTCTGAGAAATGTGTCCTGAGGTGATTTTGTTGTTGTGGAAGCATCATAGAGTGTGCTTACATAAACCTAGACAGTGTATCCTACTGCACACTCTGGCTACATGGTACAGCCTATGGCTCTGATCACCGTCTTATATGAGGCCTGCTGTTGACGTAAACATAATCATGAGGCATGTGACTATAAACAGAATTGTATGGCATATAAGTTTTTGGGTCTAGGTTCTTTCACTAGGCTTAGAGTCTGTGAGATTCGTATATTTTAAAATGTATCAGTAGTTTGTTTCATTTTATTGCTGAGTAATTGCCATTGTAT